CCCGTCGCAGCAAGCGTTACTCCTTTGTATTGTCCTTTCAAAAATGTTCCATCAAGAAACAGCAATGACCGACAATATTTGAAACCAGCAATGCATGAATGAAAAGCCACAAACATTCTTTTGAGGCGTTTGTTATCTTCAAAATCTAACTCAAAACAACTACCTGAATTGTTCTTCAATGCCTTATCAAAATACCACCGTAATTGATCGAATGACAAACAAGAATCCCTATATGTACTACATTTTGTTTTTTTAACCCCTAACCAACCACAGTTATAACTGATTGAGACTCCATACTTGTCTTTCATTTCTTTGACAACATCCATTGGACGAGTTAAAGGTTTTCCACTTATCTCTTCAAGTATCAGCCCCAGAAACTAAGCTGGAAGTCATCCTAATATGTTTACTAGTACGAACCGCCACCCCACACGTATGTTCATTGTTCAAATTTCTTATGTAAAAGAACCCATTTATTTTTTCAACTGAAGCATGTACACGCCACATACATCCCCTTTAATTCCTTATATGCACATTCTGTCGTAACCCTTAGCTTCTCATTTTTAACATACGTAAACTGAAAACCAGCCTCAATAGTATACTTGCATAAAACAGTATGGAACTCAACCATACCACCCTCAAACTTTTGTCCAACACTCGTAATATTATTTTGTCAACTAGGTGACAATAACACATTTTCTTGGTGAGAACAAAACTTAGAAATTGAATTCCTTTCAATATCCACCAGCCTATCACATTCACCATGCATAACATCTACCTAATTAGACCCCACTTCATCCTCTTGATTAGAAGTACTACATCTAATAACTGAAATATCAACTATATCAACACCACGTGCACAACATATTCAAAAAATCAATATTATTTCTAACCATACAATTCGGATGGCCCACAATAGAATATGAAATACACATTATCTCAGGTTTCAAATTCTTCGATGTTTTACACAAAATGCCAACCAATTTCTCAAAATTCAATCCACATGAAACATTAATGACAATAGTATCATTCCCATATCTGCACAGCAACAACACTGCACTGTCCATTGAAATTGAAAGAAAAAACAAGAAAAATAATTTGTTCAATATAAAAACAATTCACAAGAACAACATAAAAGTCCAGAGAAATTTCTAACAATTATAATTTTCTCTGGATTATAATAACAAGCTTATAATTTTCTCTAGACTTAAATAAAAGTCTAGAGATATTTACAAACTTATATTCACTTTCAAGATAACAAAAACAAAATCACAAAAAACTTAATGAATCCAAAGAGAATCATAGATAAATTTACTGCTAACTATTAGACATAATCATAAACAAAAATCATACAGAAGATCTATTATGAAATTATAAGCTTCTCTGTGATTTTGGCTGAACGACAAGCTTACAATTTTCTCTATGTGATTGTGCAATATTGCACTCATATCAAAATCTAGAGAAATTTATAAACTTATATACATCTTCAAGATAACAAAAAATACCGCACTGTCCATCTAAATTGAAAGAAAAAACATAAAAAATTACTTTTGCTCAGAGAAATAAAAACTTATATTCACTTTGAACTACAAACTTATAATTTTCTCTGAACTGCAAACTGAAAGTGAATAACAAACTTATAATTTTCTCTAAACTACAAATAAAAGTCTAGAGAAATTTAAGAACTTATATTCACTTTCAAGATCACAAAAACAAAAACACATTAACATCAAATTGATAAAAATGTCAACTATTCCACACAAACGCAGAGAAACTTATAGAGGAGATCTATTATGCTCACAAAATATTCAATTGAGAAAAATAAGAAATAAAAACTTATAATAACATGTCCATAACAAATTACAATTTTCTCTGTGATTTTCACTAGACTAAAAACTTACAATTTTCTCTGTGATTTTTACTGAACTACAAACATACAATTTTATCTGAGATTCTACCTACATTAGAAACTTCTAATAATATGTCCATATGAACTTATAACTTTCTCTGTGATTTTCGTTGGATTATAATAACAAACTTACAATTTTCTCTGGACTATACCAACAAAAGTGCAGAAAAAACAGAGAACAAAACTTAGAGAACAAAAAATGATAAGAAATTTACACTTATCTCTGGTTTAAAGAAATTTCTCTGGTTTGAAAAAATAGAGAACAAAACTTATCATTGATAAGTATGTTGATGAAAAATAGAGCATGCAAAATGAACTTTAAACATCAAAATCAATTCTACTGTCAACTCTCTTTGAAATTGATAAAAAAAAAAAAGAGAGAATGAAAACTGAACTCCAAAAGTCAAAATCAACTCTATCAAGCTGGTCTCTCTCTAAAATTGATCAATAACAGAAAATGAAAAATCAACTCTAAAAATCATAAACAACTTCACTGAACTAGCCTCTCTTTTAAATTAATCAAAACTGGAAAAAAAAAAATCTAATACAAAAATACACTTGAAAAACTAATATGAATTCAGAATCCTTATATAAAATTCAAAACAAAAATCAAAATTTATGTGGAATCTCTATAAAAAAACATACTTGATTCAACTCCACTGAAAAACTTACATGATCAACACACTGTAACACCTACACGATCGTAGCAATCTCTATCGTCAAGTCCATTGCAACACTTGCAAAATCCCTACGAAATCTCCTTCGCGAAGTCAATTTCCAAAATCTCCACTGTGAAGTCAGCAATAGAACATTCAGTTTGACAAAATCTAAACAAACTTATGTTATAAGGAAGGGTAAATTAGGTATTTTATAACATAAAATAAGGTTGAGGGATTTTAGCCATCAAAACATATTATTGTGAATCTCTCCTCGTATCAAAAGTTGGATAAGAATCTTAGACCAATTTTCCCGTTATTTTATTATGAACTTGTTTAGGGTGAACTAAAATAACATTTTTTTTTTGTCTTTTTATTTTTTAAATCACATTATTTTTTTTTATATCTTTTCGTACTATTTTTTTTTTGTTTGGGGGTGAACTTGTTTGTACTATTTTTTTTATGTACGGTTGTGGAAGGTTTGAATTATTTTTATTTTTCTTTTCATGGTTGTGAAATGCAATTTTTATTTTTTATATAACAAACATACCACAGTTTGCTTAAAATATGATTTGTTTATTTTTGTTTTGAAAATTACATCTTATCCTTTGAAGTTTTTAATTTTATAGCAAATTATCATTTTTATTAATAAATTATTAAGTTAATTAATAATTTTAATATCAGAAATTTATTTCAATTAAATGAAAATTTTCAAATTACAAGAAGAGTAATGTATTTTCGGTGAATTTCAAATGGTGCATTTGTGATTTACCTTTTTTTTCCCAATATTATTGTTTTCTAGATTCATTGATTCTTTTGATATTATTGGTGGGAGTTTGGATTCTCTTAAGTTAATTATCTTAATTTAAGAAAACGCTTGGATTTAATGGGCTTACTTTGGGATGAATCTCTAATTCACTTTTAATACTTGTTAAGTAATATATTCATTTAAATGTTTATTGCAAAAATTAGGATGATAGAATATCGGTAGTTATGTGTTTGAATAATATTTGTATTACAAAAAATGAATGTCTACTCTTGCAAAAAAAATTTAGATAATCGTATATCAATAGTTATATGTTTAAATATATTTGTATTATAAAAAATAATAATTATGGATATAATTTTAAAATAACTGTAATTCAAATATATAAATACCAATAACAATCTCCAATCCCTATGTTAGACTATTTGATACGATTAATTAAGTAAAACTTGTTAATATAGAGAATATTTTAACATGAATAACACAAACACGGGTATTTTGACACGAAACAGAGCACAAACAAACGCTAACATGATCCTAATTTCTTTTTGGTTTTTCAAGCTTTGTTTTTTACACTACAAGAAATTAGTCCTTTAGAGACTAATATTTAAGGACTAATTAAATTTGGTCGCAAAAAATAATCTTTAGGGACAAATTTAAATATATGATAATTTACTTACAAGATTGTAAAAATAATTATTAATATTCTCACTTAATATTTACATAATTTTTTTAGACTAATAAATTTGGTTGCTAATATATTTGCATAATTTTTTTAGACTAATAAATTTAGTTGCTAATATATTATTAACATTTAGGGACCAAATATTTTCACCATTGTCAATTAAAAATAATTTGAGACCAATTATTTTCATTATTTTAACAATTGAAAAGTCGGGATTCAGCCCTAACTTGGTCATTCTCTCTCTCTCTCTCCCTCTGTAATCGATCTTCATACCTGTAAGAGCTCCAAGGCAGATTAAGCTCCACATTTGAAGATTAATAGTCGTTTTTCAACTAACAATTGAAGATTGAGCTCAATCTTCAATTGTCAATCTTCAATCTCTGCACCTCGGTTTGCTCAATCTTCAGCCCTAAAGTCGGGAGCTCCAAGGCAAATTACCTAAAGGAGATGTTTGATGATTGAAGAAGAGATGTTTAATTCCAAAAGATGCTGGAATTAGCATGGAAGTTGCTGGAAGAATAATTTACCTAAAGGAGATGTTTGATGATTGAAGAAGAGATGTGCTTTTTATTATTTTATATTGATATGTTCCATTCTATATTTGAATCAGAGTAACCAAAAGATGCTGAAAGCCTAGAGATTTGTTTTTTTGATTGCATGTTTTAATCATGTTATAGGCCTAGCAGTAACAAGTTGTCACCACCACTAGGGTGGAGGTCTGTGCTTTATTAACCAATAGATATGTGTTCCTTTTGCGGCTTCTTTCTCCCCATTGTTCTCCTTGGAAAGAAAATTTTTAAGATTATGATTTGGACAGTATATGGATCAGAGTTGTATGTTTTGGTGGAAGAATTAATAAAATAGCCAGCAACCCCAATGGCTTATCTTATCTATGATTTACATGTTTAATTCCAATTTAACAAAGTCTTGAAGTCAATACACAATTTGTGCAGTTTAGCAGATTCGTGTGTTTTATTAATTATTGTAAGAAATAATTTACTATACAGACATACATCTTTATAATATTTGTTCTAACTGTGATAAAAAGAGAGATTGTGGACTATCGATTTCCTACATAATTATGAACGGGTCTTACTATTTTGATCTGTACAAGTGTGAACTCACTTAGATTATAAAACATAATCCAAACTCACTTAGATTGTGCCAAACCCTATTTTCTTTTTAAAAGTTGGGGAGTAAAAGCTATGAATGTATTTCTGAATCAATCTTTTCTAAGTTACATAGCATTTGGTTTGAGGGTAATGTGACTTCTATATTTTGGTTACATTAACCTGTATCATTTATGGCTATGTAGATACATACATGCTGTCCGGAAGAGTAGGACTTTGGTATAACAAACTGTTTATTCTCATATTAAGATTTGGAGGTTGAATTGAATTAATATTGGGGGCTGTCCATTTTAATTTGAGTGCACATTATGTGTTAACATGATGGGTCTGTTAAAATCTCTCCCCCTACTTCCCAATAATCTTCCCCCCCCCAAACTAGAAATGCAATTCATACTAACTCAAATAAACTGGGTATTGTTAATTAATGTTTGCTAAGCGTGAATAATGAAACTTATGATTGATATGCTTCTGTAGGTTGTCTGGTACCTAGAAACAAGGATGGCATGGCATCTAAAAACGCATGTGTGAAGAGAATATTAGACCTGTTAATACTTTAAAGTTAGAAAATTCAGCTTTTGGGAAATGCTACTTTAAAGTTAGAAAATTCAGTTAGAATATTAGACCTGCTACTAGATTATGGTGCTTTCTCTACCAGTTATTATGTTCTCTCTAGGATAAGTAAATCGAAAAATCAATGTCTTCAGTTGCTCTGTTACAATGTATATATAAAATGACTATATTTAATTTCATGAGCAATTGTAGAAAAAACTTAAAGAGCGGGAGAATGAAGCCATAGAAGATGGATCTGGCCCACTATCTGATGAGCAGCTTTCCATTGAGGTGTTTGGGCGTTAGTCTGGCTACATAAGTGGTTTAGGACGTGGTCCTAAACCTAGTACAACAGCATCTAGTTGACGTACTCGTGCTGCTCTTGAGATAGAAAATGAGGAAATTAGAAAGGAGCTTGAAGAGCAACGAAGAATCAATGAGGAACTGAATGCAAGAGTGCACAACTTGGAGTCTAATAGCGTAGAGGTCAATGCCAAGATTGATTTGGTGCTGCAACAGATTAGTCGGGGAGGTTTTACTTCTGATTTACGATTATAGTAAGTACCTTTTGCTCTAGATAGATCTGTCATAGTTATAAATTTAGTGTGTTTGTTATTAAGAACATTTGATTATGATAACGTGCTTGGATTATGATAACCTTATTGTGTTGATTCTAGGTGACTCACTTTCTTGTTGTGTTGATTCTTATTATAGCTCACTAATACTCCAAGTACACTGAGATAACGTGTTTTTTTAATTATTTGTAACTTATTTGATTATGAATGACTATTGATTATTTAATAAGGTTATGTTGTGTTGATTCTTATTATTTGATTCTTCTTTTTGAATTTTGGGTTGCAGGGATGTCCAAAGGGTGTCACACCTAAGTACAGCTTGAAGCCTCTTGTGCCAAGCCTGTCTGATATAAAGCCTGATATTGATGTTGAGAAAATGCTTTTTTAGATATTTTCTTTGAAGAAACTATTGTTGCTATTCTTCATTTGAACTGTTACTACTTTGATTTGAATTTGGAAACTTTCAGTTTTAATTTTTGTCAAATTTACTTTCTATATACTCATTATGGTTTGGGAATAGAGTGGGTTTGATATGTGAATGTCAATTTTTTTTTTTTTTAATATGATTGGATGACATTTAATTTTGTGCATTTTAGCTATGAGATTAAATGATTACAAAATTTAACTTTGATTTTTAGCGACAAAAATGTGTTGTAGAGAAAGTTATGTCTTTTAGCAACCAAATATCATAAAAGTATCATTATTTTGTTTTTTGCGACCGAATTGGGACATTTTATGACGAAGTATTAGCGACCAAATGTTTAGTCTTGTAAAATTAAACATTTTGTGACAATATAAAATTGGTCGCTAATTGTCATTTTTGGGGATATTTTCAAAAATTGGTCGCTAAAGACTTTTCTAGACGCACTTTTAGTGACTTTTTTAGTGACGAAATTAATTTTGTCACAAAAACCATTTAGAGACTAAAACAATAGTTTTAGGGACCAAAATAATTGGTCGCCAAAAGTCTTATATGTTGTAGTGTTATCTTTCCCAAAAGTATTAGTTATGTTTTCTGACATTATTTAAAAAAATAATTGCTTTTCTTTCAAGTTTAAATTTAAATTTATGAGATTTTGAGATTTTCATAGGACTAAATATAGACAATAAATATATTTTTAAAAATAAATTATTTAATTTTTTTAAGACAAACGTGGCAAAATAAAAATAAAAATTATTATTATTATTATTATTATTAAAAAATCAATTCTACAAAAGAAACCGTTTGAATCGAAATGAGATTCACAATAAGTTTCATGAATTCTCTCAGGTTCATATTTTGAACTTAGAGAAATCTAACCATTTTCAAAAGAAATATTGGAAGAATGTTCTATGTATTTCCATGTCAAATTGAGCTCAGATTGAAGTAGAAACATATAAATAGCAACAGGTTCCATAAGAGATAGGTTTCTCTCCTGTCTAGTCTAGGCTCATAGGTGTTTTCGTGAACTCTATATGAATAATCTAATTACAGTTCAAAAAAAATATATATGAATTGTCACCACATAATTTGATGAGATCTATTTTCAGAAAAATAAATAAATAAATAAAATAGACAATTTATTCAAGATCACACTTGTAGTTTTTTTCTTTTTTCTTTTTTACTTCAAAATCATAATTATAGTTAATTTTTTAAAGAATAAATATAATTTAATCATATTATTATGATAATTAAATCAATCTATTTTTTTTATAAAATTTTTTTGAATTATCTACTCATAGGAATTTGAAAGTGGAATCTATATGGTAGGCCACAAGCTCGGATTGGAAACAGTAGTGTGGACTAAAGTAGGCCCGACCCTAACGTTTAAGGATGTTCAGTACATATTTTGATTTGTTTAAATTGATTGAATCGAATTGATCCACTATATTTTAGACAGATATGTAATAACGAGTGGATGGTGTCGGATTGATTTTTTTTTTCTTCAATCTGCTTAGTTTTAGACGGATAACAGATTTAAGTTTCCTTTGGCCGTAATTGAACCGCCAAACCACGACCACCTCTAGCAATTTATAAGATTTTGTGTTTTCAGCTTATTTAGATATTTTGTTTATACTTTTAATTGAAAAAGAGTTTAAATGTTCTGTTGTGTTTTCAATTTGTTTTTAATTTGGAAATCCTTTTATCAAATGACAAGTGTTGATATTTGATATTTTTATGTGAAAAATATAAGATTTAATTTTTTTCATTCTTTTTAAAAATCAAATTAAATATTTTTTGAATAAAAAAGCAATAATGAAATAGTTTTGTTAATGCATGGTTTTCTTATATGTATTTATTATTGGTATTTGACAATTTATTTGATAATCTTTTGATTATGTTAAGTTGGATTATTATCCAAAAAAAATGTTGACAAGTTGTTATATTATGCTTAAAAATTGTAAAAGTTTAAACCGTCAAACCAATTCGCATTCATCCGTCAATCTGGCAGACGGATGCGGATTGATTTTTTTCAATCTATCAATTCAGCGGACGAATAATAGATTGGAGGTTTTCCGACCACAACTGAATCACGAACACCCCTACTAACGCCACAAAGTCAGCTGCTTTGGGCCCTCAAAAATTCTGTAAGCTGTTATAGTTTGAGAAAAATAATGGAAAACTTATCAATAAATTTCATACACAAAATTCAAAATTCATCTAATTCCAAAACAAAATATTTGCACCAATTAGTCTCATATATTTGTAATTGTTACCAAAAAATTCTATTTTTTAAATAAAAAAAGGGCAAATTACATAAATAGTCCCTATAGTTTGGGGCTTGTATCACATTGGTTCTTGACTTTTCAATTGTCACATATTTGACCTTGAATTTTGAATCTTGTTCCAAATAAGGACAATTGAAGATATAATTAGATTTTTCAAGGGTAAAATTGTCAATTTAATAAAAAGTAATCTACTTTGACAAAAATAAATGTCAAACAAATATTTTTGATTTTTTAAAAATTACTTCTACCCACTAAAAATAAAATTATGTAAAATTGATAAATCTTTTAGACATTTATTTATTATTTTTACCAAATTAATTTTTATTATGTATTTGGATGATGATCATATAAAATTAATTTAAAAAAATTAATCATGTAATTTTTATTAATTTTACATAATTTTATCCTTGGTAGATAAAAATAATTTTTAAAAAATTAAAAATATTTTTTTGACATTTATTTTTGTCAAATTAGTTTATATTTTATCAAATTGATGATTTTACCCTTGAAAAATTTAATGATATTTTCAATTGTCCTTATTTGAAACAAAATTTAAAATTTAGGGTCAAATGTGTCATTATTGAAAAGTCATGGACCAAAGTGACACAAGTCCCAAATTATAGGGACTATTAGTGTAATTAACCCTAAAAAAAATTAAAGATGCTACTACATCCCACTACCATCGGATTTTTGTCAGACGATCATTGGAGACTCGTCGGAACGTTCAACATCACTGGGAAGTCGCCAAAATATCATCGGAAATTTAGTAGAATATTGCTAGAATGTTCTGAACGTCACCGGAAGTCGTCGAAATGTTTAAAATGTTCGCTGGATGTTAAAAAGATCGCCGGAGATTCACCAAAATGTCTAGAATATTGCCACAAAAAAAATTGAGAAATTAAAATGAAAAAATATAGCAAAATGTGCTAAATATTAATAAATTGAAAGAAGAAAAAAACCTAAGAACAACAAACAGCAGTAATGGAAATATATATATATATATATATATATATGTTATTTTCAATTTTTGTAGGGTTTAAGCAAATAATTTTTAATATTGATCAAATTGAAAAGTAAGTTTTGAAACTGTAAAATGTTATAGTTTCAAAGTATGATTTTATTAAGTATTTATCCTTATTAATCAAATTGAAAAACATGTTATGAAACTACAGAATTTTACCATTCTAAAGAATGATTCATTTAAAAACAACAAAACACTAATGTAACGCCCTCAAAATATACCCATTATATGTATATCATCGACATGCATTATTTAAAGAAAACAATTTATTAATTCATTCATCAGAGTATTACTAAAGAAAAACATTACATGTAACATCAAATTAAATGCCCTATGGGCTTACATCTTTCCAAGCCAACACTTGGACACAAAATATGAGTTCTAACTCAAATACAAATAAAGCCCTAGGCTTGATTATTTATCAAATAAAAACAAACAACTAAAGATAGTCTTCACAATCCAAATCCTTCCAAGCTAAGTCCTAGGAGGTAGCTTATCACCTGGACCTGAAAATGATGTTCCCATAAAGGGTGAGTCACAGCCCAGTAGAAATATACTAAACCAAATATAAGCATTGAATAAAGCATCAGTTTTTAATAGATGGTTAACTAGGATAATCAATTACATCATCAAACAGTCTCATGACACTAATGTCTAAAACTCATTTTACTTTCCAACATTAACAATACGGCTCAGAACCTGGCCAAACTTACAACAGTGAACTATATAGATATCATATTCACATTCTTCCAATGTCAACAAACAATTGAGACTCAGGCTCAAATCAAAACACTTCATACTTCCAGTTTGATACACATTTTAGTGCTGTATCAATAAAACACTTCAATATAAATAAGCACACATAAAAGTGATGCTAATGGATTCCATCCCCTATCTTCTCCCAAACAAAATCCGGTTTAGAGGTCCATCCCCTATCTTCCCCTAAACCGTGGAGTACATCCCCTATACACAAGGGTTACTTTCTCTTGAGTATTCATGATAATAAAATGATAATAATATTTTATTTGCTACTAATTTCATTTTTTTTTTGGTTACATTTATTCTTTTCTTAGTATTTTAAATTTTGAGATGATGATGGAATATATGAATTTGGTTGTGATTTTTGTAATTTCAATTTTGATGTGTTTGGTTGAATATATATATTTTTTGAAATAGGGTTTGGAGAATTCTAGCTAGTAGCAAATAAAATATTATTGCTGAATGGTTAAAATTTCATTAGGTTGCATTCCCCCCCCCCAAAAAAAGAAAAAAAAGTGCTTTTAGTGGCGTTTTCGTAAAAAATGCCGCTATAGGGTCTGTATGACGTCATCTCGCCGGAAGGAATCACCGCCGGTGATTGTAGCATGACGTTTTCTAAAACGTCGCAATAAGGTCTACAACGGCATTTTTTAAATGTCACAAACATATAACGACGGCTGTATCTGCGGCGTATAATAAAAACGTCACCATAGGTTTTAGCAGCGTTTTTCAGATATTTAGCGACGTTTTTCAGATATTTTTTGTAGTGACATCATCTCGCTCATACATCTCATCTATCGCGGTATATCGACCACATGGTGCTCATTTTGGCACCATGGAAGCTCCAATTCAAACTGTTGTAGAAAGGCGTGTAGCTCGCTCGAGCGAAGACATGGTCGCTCGAGCGACCAGACACAAGAAAAACTCACTCGAGCCAAGAAAAGCTCGCTCGAGCCAAGAATGCAATGCTACAGGTCCATACTGGACGCCATCTCTCGCTCGAGCGACTAAACCCTAGCTCGAGCGAAGAACCAAAAACAACAGCTCGCTCGAGCGACCAACTCCTCGCTCGAGCGAAGAACCAAAAATCTGGACAACAACACATGGTTTCTAAACCCAACCAACCTGAAACAAACCTGCCCAACACATCCTATAACTCCAAATAAGAAAAAAAGGGACAACAACCACAATTATACAATGATAGAATCTACGGAACCTAAGTCCGGATACAATAATCAAATGGGAAAAGACCGGGGTCGCTATAACTAAACTGTAAAATTTTACGATTTTCACTATCTGTAATTAAACCTCCAAAAAAAATTATTCAAAATTTGAAAATTTTCTCCAATATAAGAGGAAAATAGAAGTGTATAGTACAGAAAAAGTATTAAAATTGAGAAATCAAAAGAAAGAGATAGATATAGAGAGATACTTGTACTATGATAATTATTTTTTGATTTAAATCTAACCGGATCTAACGTAGATCTATTCAAATCTGAAATATTGTGCTTGGTTCATTTAAATTATTTGGAAAAAAAAAAAAAAACACTGCGATGTGCTTTCTTTACTAATAGTTTTTCTCTGATTTCCAGGACTCCTCACCTAATTACTAGTCGTCCATGGGGCGATCTTCAAGTCCCCTTTCCTAATTTGTGATCACTTCTATCTTTAATCTCCAAAAATGCTAAACAAGCTAACACAATAAACTCTAGTAAAAATTTAAACAGATTCATCCCTAAAATTGAATAACAGCTTTATGAACCTTTATCCCAGTAGCTAGCTTGTAACTTAACTGATGGTATTTAAATCTAATGATTCATTATTCTCTGGTTGAATTCAGATAAGATACCGGTTGAATGCTCCATTGGTTCTCAAGGGCATCACTTGCACTTTCACATAAGGGACCAAAGTAGTAATTGTTGGAAGGACTGGAAGTGGCAAAACTACACTCACAAGTGCTTTGTTTCGTCTAGTAGAACCAGATGGTGGAAAAAGTCTTATAGATGGACTTGACATTTGCTCAATAGGTCTTAAGGATTTAAGGATGAAGCTCAGCATCATCCCTCAAGAGCCAACACTTTTCAAGGGTATTCAAACAAATTTGGATCCTTTAGGCCTTTATTCTGATGATGAAATATGGCAGGCAAAGCCTATCAATTCTAAATCTACGTATACATCCACGATTGATATGTGACATGTCAATAAGAAATTTTCATAATTTTAGAACAATGTTTTGTTAGTAAATATGTGATAAATGATAAATCTGATTAATTCTTGATTTGTAGGCTTTGGAGAAGTGCCAATTGTTTTACGCACAATGGGGTGTGTGTAAATTAAATAAACAATAAAATAAAATAATTCAGAAAATAATTATATAAATTATTTTCCGAATTAAATGTCTACTGAAATTAATGTCGAGGCTTGTGTTGAACATAATCTCCTTAAAATAGATTTCGCCCTCGCTCCGGTGCTTCGAGTTTTACCAGCGTCTACTCAGGCCCGGTCCTGAGATTTTCGGGGCCCAAAGCCGATAATTAACTACTAAATTTCTAGGGCCCTTCACATTTTTTTTTATTGAATGAAAAAAAAATTAAGGTAAAGAACAAAAGATTTGTATTAAAATCACAAAAAATACTTAGCATTACATTATAACAACTAATAAGTATCACTTAATCCTCCCTCTTCTTGCATTTTTAGAAGCAAATAAATCAATCATACTTGCATAATCTAATTTTTTTGCAAAATCATTTTCAATGGATAACAATGCTAATCCATTCAATCTTTCTTGTGACATGGTTGATCGAAGGTAATTTTTGATGATTTTTAACTTTGAAAAGCTTCTTTCCCCCGATGCAACTGTAACTGGAATAGTCAAAAGTATCCTATAAACAACCCATGAATTTGGAAAACAATTTGCCATCGACTGCAGATGATTGAGCACTTCAATTGGTTTATTGACTTCTTTTGGCAATCTCTCTTTCAAGACTTTTAGCTCCATCAATAAATCTCTTCCATCAATATCGGAAATCTCTATCGCAACACTTTTTCAAGTGAAACAAAAAGCCAAAGTTTGCCTCATATACTTTGAATTGTTCAAACCTATTTTTGAGTGAACAAAGGGCTTGATCAACAAATAAAGGAAGTAACCAACTCTAAATGATTCTTCAGCCGACTACGTCACTTCTTCGCTAACATTCTCATCAAATTGTTTCTTTCTAGAAATGATGTGCTTTTCAACAAATGTAGGTTCAATTCCCAATTCACTTGCCATTTCTTTAGCTTCAACCATAGCATCCATGAAACCAACTTCTCTATACATTGCAACATACTTAACAAGCCCATCTAGCTGCTTTACAGCAACTGCTATATCCATATCTTCACTTTGAAGAAGCTTGCTAACAGAGTTCACATGAAACAACAAATTGTACCAAATTACAATACTAAACAAGAACTCAAAAGTTTCAAGTTCATGAGTTACCAGGGATTTAGCTTCACTTTTTGCAATCGAATCTGTGGTAGGATTGTTATACAAGTCAACTAAAGCATCTCTTATTTTTGAAGCATGGTATCTTAGTGGTTTAACACTTTTAATGCGACTTTCCCAACGCGTTTACGACAATGACTTAACCGTGAGGCCTTCCTTTAGATTATCTTTTAAAATTGCCCAACTTTGAACAGAAGATGAAAACAATACATATATGCGTTGTATCACACCAAAAAAAGTTTTTACTTTAGAGCAAGAGTTGGCCAGATCACAAAGCACAAGGTTAAGACTATGACAACCACACGACGTATAGAATGCTCTAGGATTTACTTAAAGTACTCTTGTTTGAACACCTTTGTTTTTGCCTTTCATGTTAGAGCCATTGTCATATCCTTGCCCTCTTAAGTCCCCAATATCAAGTTGAAGGTTAACTAATGCTTCTTGAAGTTTATCAAAAAGTCCCATCCCCGATATATCATCCACATTCAAGAATTCCAAAAAAAAACTCTTTCACTTTAATTGGACTTATTGAAACATCCACACATCGTACAACAAGAGACATTTGTTCTTGATGGCTTATATCCGGTGTACAATCAAGTATGGCTGAAAAGTATTTTGCTAGTTTGATTATCGACAAAATTTCACTTTTGACTTCGCCGGCCAACATTTGTATCACCTCATTTTGAATTTTGTAACTCAAATAATGGTAATGAATCTCACCATTTTTTATCCGCCGCAAGTGTTGTTCCATCGTTGGATCAAACTCGCCAATCATTTCAATTATGCTTAAAAAAAGTCCATTGCTCTCTTCATAAATCTTCTCATGGCTTCCACGAAAAGGCAAATTATTCTTGGCAAGTGTTTTCACAACTGCAATTATCATCAATAAAATTCGTCTCAAGTGCTCTCTTTCTTTGTCAACTTGTTCTTGTATACTTTTATCTATTGTTTGATGCTTTCCCAATCTTTCCTCCAACTCAATCCATTTGCTCATGCAAGTAATGTGCTCGTTACTACTTTCATGGCCTTTAAGTCTCTCACCAATATTTCTCCAGTCTTTAAATCCTTCGGTAGCCAATTGAGTCTTATTTCCCTCTTGCTTAAACAACTTACAACAAAAGCAAAATACTCTATCCAAAAGTTCCAAGTATATCAGCCATGTCCTATCAAATTTTTCTCCATTTGGTAAATGCCGAATGCAATGAACAGATAAGAAATGCCTATGCCTAGAAGAATCATCCTTGGGGAAGTTGAACTAATAATTTCTTCTCACAAGACCTCTTTCGACTAAAAAATCTTATAAATTCTGGTCAATTATTTTCCAAGTCCCTAGATCATCTATATTTGAATGCTCACATTCTATATTCATCTCATCATCTTGATTGGCTTTTGTACTCCCAAATTCCCCATTTCCTTCTTCATCCACCAAATTTTCATTCTCATTATCCACCAAATTTTCATTCTCATTATTCACCAAAGTTTCAAATTCTTCACTATTCAAGTCTTCAACTGATTGTTCTGTTTGTTTGCCACCCGTAAAGAATTTATTAATAGCTCCTCTTTGACTCTCGACTAATTTTTCGACTCTTTGCTTCTTTTTCCTTTTTGCGAATCCAGACGGATAATTTCTTTTAAGAGTCATGATGAACTGAGATCAAAATATTTTTATAGATCAAAATTCAAAACAAGAGCACCACCACTTAACAAAATACAAACTTTTAAATTATGTGATGTGAACTATTAAACTTAAATAAATTCTTCTTAATGATGTAAATACCAATATTATAATAGCAATTAATTGTGCAAAAGACAAGATAAATATTTAATAAATTGAATAGAAAAAAAAAATTTACCTGTTTGCTGCTGATCCGTCTCTATGCTGCTGGTGTGTGCTATATCAAACAAATGTAGGGAATGTTGGATTAATAGAAGATAGGGTTAGGAATTAGAAAAAATGGGCCTTTCAAATGATTGGGCTGGGCCTTAACTGTTGGTCTTTTAATGGGTGACAAAAATTAAGTTAGTTTGGGCATTTTTTCAATTTTTTTTGGGCTTAAAACATACCCAATATATTATACTAACTTATAATAGGAGGGGGCTCCTATTTTGGGCCTATTTTGAGGGGCCCTAAGCCATGGCCTTGTGGGCCTATGGCCAGGGCCGGGCCTGCGTCTACTTCCCAGGATGCAACGACTAATACTTGATTTTACAACACTATAAAATCAAGTCTGGGAACCAAAACTTTGCTGAAACTCTCTTTTTCTTTTTCTAAAATTAAATGCAGAATAAATGCAAAAAATAAGAAGACAGAAAGGGGAGAAGAGAGATGAAAATCTAAGGAAAAAATGTATGTTCTGAATTGCTGGAAGGCTAGCTTTTTATAGGAGGAAAGGTAGCTGTTCGAATGGGTGAAAAACCTGTTCGGACAGATTGAATAGGTACCAATCTGTTTGAACAGATAAATAGTTGAATTCAACAGGTGTGAACCTATTTTTGACCCTTTTGAACTTGTTCGGGTGGCATGAACCTGTTAGGGACCTCTTTGGGTGAAGAAAAAAATCTGGACCAATTTATTTTGAATTTTGAAACCAAAATTAAAAATAAAAAATAAACTACAAAAGTTTTTGGCCCAAAAAAATAAGTATTGGGCCGGACAAACCCAACCCAACCTCACACCACACACCCGCGCCCAGTCTAACCCAGCCTGCCTAACCGGATGGCCGGCGGCGCGCACGCATTGTTTTAATTTTGGGTCCAATAGGTCTAGCCCACTTCACTCATAACTTTACCCTCCCACAAACTTGGGTACCCCTTAGGGCCCATCCCAAGTATCCCAAGCTAAGGTATATAAACTCATTCAAAACCTCAAGCCTTTCCAATATGGGACAAGCACATTTCACAAATGTGTAGGAAACCCACCAAAAAACTAGTTCCATGAACCCGAAAACGCGCGTTGAATTCTCATTCATTCGGAAATAGTTTTGAGTAACTAAATACATGAATTTATTCACTATGCAGCATTAAATATGAACCTACTTAGAAACGTTAAAAATAACGCTTGGGTCCCACCTTAATTAATGCTCAAAGTTAGCAAAAAAATAAGGCTATACAAAAGCCATTTTCCAACAATCCCCCACATGAATGGAATTCACGATAACAGACATGCAACAAGATGTAGACATAGAAACAGTACATTAAGAAGATACACCACATCAAGATAGATAGCTTTTGGCTTTGAACCTCCTCTGGTGAAAGCCTATCGGACTTACTGGCTAACCAGTGGACGCGATGCCTTGAACTGTTCAGTTGTTTGTGTAAGCCAAGACAATAGACTACACATAGTGTATCCGCAAACACAATTTGGCTCTTACGGTTGTGTTCATTTTGGCCTTATACAACGCCTAGTAGTTCATAAGTGCTTTATAGAATTTAGCCTTCTCAATTCTGACAGAACCGGCCCAGTTCACACTCATATAGGTGACTTCTTATTAAGAGTATCCTGCTATACCCCACTTGGATGTCCAAGCTATAAGAATCATTAAAAGCAAAGCTTATCCTACTAACGTTGTAGGTATCACTTTTCTTATCATAGAAATGTGTAGGAGTAAACCTCCTTAGTAATACATGAAGTCATCCATAATTCGATTGTCCCTTTAAATTTAGATCTTGGGATCTCCAGTTAATTAGGTTGGGTTGCTATTATGGCGACTTTTAAGTAATAGGCTTTAATCCCATTCCCCTTGATAAATAGTGCACTTGCTCTCTAGCTAACCCTTTAGTCAATGGATCTGCAATATTCTCCTTTGACTTCACATATTCTATGGAAATTATTCCATGTGAGAGCAAATGCCTAACGGTATAATGTTTTCGACGAATGTGTCGAGACTTACCGTTATACATATGATTATGTGCCCATCCTATTACTACTTCACTATCACAGTGAATGCATATAGCTGGCATAGGTTTAGGTCATATTGGAATGTCTTCTAAGAAATTACAAAGCCATTCTGCTTTTTCTCCTGTTTTATCTAATATGATAAACTCAGATTCCATTGTCGACCTTGCTATGCATGTTTTGTCACGACCCAAACCCGGTATCCAAAGGCTCAGCATCGTAACAAGATAAAAATAAAATAATTCGGATAATTCTGTAGTCACAGCGCAAGCGGATAAATTAAATAAATTAAAATAAATAACTGGGTACCAACTGCTTATTTAAAATGAAGTAAAACATAGTTACTTGAACTTCATTGTATTACAAGAGTCTAATAATAAAAGATAGAAAACAAATAACATAGCGATTCATTTTCCATCTTGATCCCGCTAAACCTCGTCACCTGAAAGGGGTAACAGCTATAAGTACATAGCAGAGTAAGAAATATCATACTATGAGTGTAGGGGCACAAAATGGTCATGGATATTTATTTAAGCTAAAACATTAACATAAATTGAGTTGAGTTGAATACACAAATTAATTAAGTGCTAGAAACTGAAATAATCACTATAACCATGGTACATCACTAAAGTAACAATCACTACAGAGGTCAATGGATCCATGACAACACTGGACCACAAAGTGGTCAAACATTAGCCAATGGTTATTTTAAGTCCCTCAAGGCGTGAGACTCCCGTGGTGGTACTTACAAAACATAATTGCTTATAAGGTCATAATAAAATATTCTTTAAAATATAAACAAACATATCCATGAGTTTCCTTTTAAGCAAATAGGGTTCAGAAAATAATCCACGTAACTGAAACCCTTATAAAACATAACTTTTATTAATATACTAATAAAACATAACTAGTATAAAATAGATTTTAGTAAGTCAAAACATCAGTAAAATACATTTTGGTAATCCAAGGTATAATATAACTCACCTTAAATTAATTTCTTTATTCCTTCTTTCCACTACTCACGATCTTCACCTGCCCCTTTCTCTTTTCCACTCTCTATTTCCGTTGCCTTAAACCTGTCATTCTTCCCTATTTATAGGAAGAAAATCGTGGGTAGCAAGTCACAGAAAGTTCCGAAATTTTGACGCGTGTAAAACTTGCTATTTACTCCGGTCCACCCTTATCCATTTATTTATTAACTTGTTTGAATTCTATCTTTTTACTTGACCATTGACTAATCCATCTTCTTAGAACTTAGACATATTTTGACCATTTGACCATTTTTTTTAATTTAAAAGTTATTACATTCTTTGGTAATTTAAGATGACTCCTAAAACTTACGTATAATGATAAGTTAGGTTTATGTCTAAAAACCTTACTACCCAACTATAAATCACCACTTACCACTTACTAAAATATTTAATGTGTAATATTTCACAACGTATTTCTTCAACCATAAAATTTCCAATCTCCTAAATTATGCATTTATTTATTATTTATTTATTTATTTATTTATTATTTATTAATTTTATCGTAATGTTAAATTTAAAACCTTCGGATGTCACATTTCTCCTCTCCTTAAAAGAAGTTTGTCCCCAAACTTGACGTACCTTGGTTTTTGAAGAGGTGTGGGTATTTAGCTCGCATTTGGCTTTCAGTTTCCCACGTTGCTTCTTCGACACAATGATTTCTCCATAAGACCTTTACGAGGGGTATAGTTTTATTTCGAAGGATCTGATCACGACGATCGAGAATCTGTACAGGTTGCTCTTTGTAGGAGAGATCTTTTTGAACTTCTAGGTTCTCATGATCGACAGCATACTCTGGATCTCGAAGATATCGACGAAGCATCGAAACGTGAAACACATTATGGACATTGGATAGTTCGGGTGGAAGCGCAAGACGATATGCTACAGGAGCAATCCTTTCGAGTATCTCGAATGGGCCGATGTAACGTGGTCTTAACTTTCATCTTTTCCCAAATCGGATTACCCCTCTTGTCGGTGAGATTTTAAGGAATACATGATCTCCTATTTGAAATTCTAAGTCTCGTTTTTGTGTATCTGCATAGCTTTTCTGGCGGCTCTGGGCAGTGCGAATTCGTTGTTGGATGAGTTGAATTTTATCACTCGTTACTTGCACGATCTCAGGGCCTAATAATTTTCTGTCTCCGACTTCCGTCCAACACAGAAGTGATCGACATCTTCTTCCATACAGTGCCTCGTACGGTGCCATTCCAATACTTGCACGGTTGCTATTATTATATGTGAACTCCACTAAAGGTAGGTGATCATCCCAGTTACCTTTGAGGTCTAGTATGCACAAATGTAACATATCTTCCAAAGTCTGGATTGTCCTTTCAGATTGCCCATCAGTTTACGGGTAGTGTAGACACCCCATTTTTGATCGTCCTCAAGACTCGGACGTCACCGCTTGAACATTCGGTGATCATCCATGTTTTGTGTTCGTCTTGAGTTCCTGGAGGCCTCGGCTACGCGCCTTGCCTCAGGATCTCTCGACTCGACCGTTTTGTGTCTGATTTTGCACCAAACACTTGTGTTTTTGCTTTGAAGGGCATGGAATGGCTTTTGGGACATCCCCACACTCCACCGGCCATGGCTTGAGGCCACCGGCTGTGTTATGTTGCCATCGGCCAAATGAGATGGCCGGCTGGCCAATTTGACTGCCGGTCGGCCACTTTGATGGCCGGCCGGCCAAATGTGGTTTTCAACAGATATTTCTGCAGA